TATACATGCAGCTGTTAAAGCAGTTCCTGCTGGTCATAATAAAACCAGCAGGAACATTTGCTCTATAGAAAAGGAGACCAACAAGTAACAAGACACTGTTTTTAACAAGTTATCACTTAAGACTTCCCTGTTTTAGACAACACATGATTAGAGAGGCCTGTATATCACATTAAGATTTAACAGGAAAATTTCCTCTTTCCCTTTCCTGCCCTGTTTTTTGCTGTCACTCTAAAAGAGTCCAGAATAAATTAACTGACAAAAGCTAAATTATGAACCAACCTAGCGTTTAAAAACAAAATGAGCCAGCCAGCTTTTAGAAAGTGACAGTGCTCCTTTTAACAGACCTTTGATGTTTTATTAAGCAGCCCTGAGGCTGGTTAGGAAATGTAGTTTTCATCCTAAATTGAGTGAAGATTTCACACAATAGAGCATTTGAGGAGTGCTAAAATTCAAATTAGGACTCATCATAAAATGAAAAGCATCCTAAAAAAGCGGGCTGAGTTCTAATCTAGTCAGAGTAAAGCAGTGATCTACTATTGGACTTGCAAAGGAAACAGTAACAAAAGAGGAATGAATGAAGGGACACAATCACAAGACAGCATGGAAATGAGCCACTTGAGTATGTGGTTGTTTTCTCTTGTCTCATGAAAAGGGGTAGAACTGCTAATTGGCATGTGTTTTCCCTCACTTCTCTTATCCCTGTGGAAAGGGTTTTCTAAAATAGTCTTCCTCTCCAAAAGTACTATTGAGGGAAGATAAAGTAGAAATTATAGACTTTTACTAACACATAACAGCAAAATTAGACATAAATAATAAACTGCAGTTTACCTTGCAGTCTACCTGCATCCACTGTACAGATACTTTGTCTATCCAGAGAGCGTTTGGTCACCCTCCCAAGACAAAAGAATTAATTAAGGCAAAACTACTTACAAACCAACCAACCAAAGAAAAAAAATAAAATAAAAAATAGCGTTTACAGGAGAAAAAGCATTACATTGGGAAGAGTGTGCTGTTTATTTTTGCTAACTGCTAGCACAGCAGGTGTGGCAATTAGAAATACAGCACAACACCTTCAAAATAATCTTTGTGGGGGATGTTAGTTAAGAGCTACAGGAAGCACAGTGAATCCACTGCAATCACAGACATTTGTACTTACCACAGGTGCAGTGACTACTACTCTCTCTGCCGCATGTATCTTCCGAAACTCAGCAAATCAACAACTTCATCTGCCCCCCAAAATGCTTTCCCCTTGTATCTCCCCCAGATCATCAGGAAAGAGAAGCATCCTGCTCCCAAGAGACAGAGCTGAAAAGAAGTGAGATGAAGGGAGAGAAATTACCCTCTTCTCTTCAATGCCACCATTATCAAATTGCTTGATGCAAGAAATTACTCCCACTACCGAGCCATTATATTTACTTAGCCAGAAACCAGAATGTGAAACAATTAATGACTCAGCAGCAGAGGCAGCATTTTCCACGTGCACTGACTGCAGTGGTATGGGAAACACCTCATCACTTCACGTTGCTTGAGCCCCAGAGCCTTCACCTACTGCTGGTGGTAAATTCCTTGCCAGCAGAGAAATGTGGTCTGCACTACATGTATTTACTAGCAAGGGTGTATCTGGGATGGGTACAAACAGCATTTCCATACCGGTAAAGAAATTTCTAATGGTAGCCAAATGCAACATGGTGTGGTAGATTGTAATTGACTTTTGGTACATGAGAAGCTGGAATAATATCATCTCCTGAAAAGGCACCAGCCACTGCTCTAACCAAAGCTGCATGAGGCAAAAGGCCAAGCTGGAATCAGCAGGAGCAGGATTGGTGGCACTGCAGTCTTTTACACATGCTTCAGAAGGCCACAGTTCCCACCTCCCAACTCAGTGCTGGCACTACGTATCACAGCGTGCTGAATCCAGATCCAACACACCCAGCTTTGACACTCAGAGGAAAAGAGCCACATTTCATATACATGCTGCTTAACACTCAAAAATCCTGTCACCCTGAATTCATTCACATGGGGGTCTGAAATGAAATTCAAAACTGAGATGGCATCACTAGGTAACCACCAAAACATAGTCCGTGTTCACAGTTACTGAGGACCACAGGTGTATGCAGACCTATGATGAGGGAAGGAAGGGAAGGACTGCTAACATTGACTAATAAAATGACAGAAAGACATACAAAGGTTATTTTCATATCAAGAACCTTTGATAAATGTAAAGCTTAGCATGTTGAGAATATAATGGCCAACTTGTCTCTCTTCCGGTTTTAACTTAAGCATACTGCTTGCAGAATGCCATATGCAGGAGCAAGAAAAACCAGCTTCACTTCTCAACGAAATGTTTACAGAGGGCAGACACCCAGATAAGCAAACTAAGTATACCAGCAGGTACTGAAGCACCAGGAAATGCTTGTTGTACAAAATCAATAAGTTTGCAAGGTAAATAAGAGTGACTAGAGACACTGAAATTAAGTGGCAAGAAAACCAAACCAAATTTGTTGAATGTGATCTCAGTTAACAGTACATGGATTAGACTGAGAGTTCTAGTCAGTATTACAATGCAAATAGTAAGCAGATTCTTTGACTAAGAGCCAACTTCAATGATATTTAGATATAAGAGCTGGAAAATTTATGAACTGGCAACTCATGTATTGAATTAAAGAAAGGGTCATGTGTGAGTGAAAGAAACATTGTTTGAAAAGACATTAAAAGAACAACATCATACATCATACAAATTTAATTCAGTGCACTGGAACAAATACAGGCTGAGAAAAAAAATGAAACGCTTATTCTTTCAGTATACCTCTCTGTAAGTCATGTGGTATAAGCATGTTTGACTTCATAGTAACCAGAAAAACTCAGATTCATTAATCAAACAAAACAAATGGATTCAGAAGCAGTTAATTTTTTAGGTCAGGCACAACTCCAGCTTTCTGGTAATATCTTGGCAAAGCTGCCACATACCTAGAGGACTGCAGACCTTTCTCCAGCCACAGTCAATGGCTGCAAATTGTATCTAGTTTCTATCACTAGTGTAATAACATTTCAAAACCAAAATCATGTTTAAACACTAAAGCAATACTGTTAAAGCTCATTAAGCCTATGGTGTATTCCACCTTACTGAGTAAAAAAGCAGTAAATTAACATGCCTGATTATACAAAATGAGGGCTAACACTAAATACAATACTGCCAGTCCAAGCATTCATTAGACCATGCTCCCACTACAGGTCTAATTCTGCTTGTTTTTAAGCCCTTACAAACATCTTCAAGTAATATGAGAAAGTTGTGGGTTTTTTTATAAAAATAAAAATTATGTTTTCTGTTTCCTTGCTGTAGAATTTTAGGCTCACACAGATGTCCAAACAGTTGGGTTACATACCACATGCAACAGTGAAAAACTACTTGTCTGCTACTCCAACAACTTGGCTGGGAGAAAGGCAGCATGCAGGCAGGCAGGCAGGGAAGCAAGTGCAGAACAGACCAGTGATAGTGAGTACTCCAGACGGCATTCACTTGTGAACACAAGCCCACGCTCCCTAGAGATCCTACAAAACAATGAAATGAGAGAATTTAACCCCTTAGGTGATGCTTTGGAATAAACAAATCTAATAATCTTCCATATATTAACTGCTTTACTTAATATACTTACAAGAAGGATGCGAGGAAAGGGAAGAATGATAAAACAGGGTGGTAACCTTTTTCTTTTCTTTTGCTCATCGTTGAGTAAACATGGTTCACTTTCCCAGCTTAGTATTTAAAAATTATACCTCCCAAGTACAGAAATAAAATTCAATGTATCACCTTGCAACATTAAACAAACCAGTCAGATCCAAACCAAAGAAAGAAGGAAGGAAGGAAAAATATTTTTGCCATTGTTAAGCAAATAACATCTGTGCAATGTTAAATCATCCACAAAAATATGACTTAGGGCTTGAGTCATCTCAATTTTATTGCTTAGTCACAGTGTATATGAAGGCAGTATTCATTCAGTGCTGAACTTGCCTTAATGCATTTAGGTTATTCCATGTGTCTCTACACTTTCTGTGATAAAATGGGAAGAAAAGCAGTGAATGGACGCCTAGAGTAGAACAGATTCATACACAGTTGTAAGCCATGTTCTAATGATCACCTTACCTACATTTTGCTTGATAGCTGGATAAATTATGAACTTAACCACAGTTATGAAATTTAACCAAGACAAGCTGAAGAAAGTTTATTGACTGTTTACTTTTAAAACTTTGCAGCACCTTTTCCCCACATTAGTATAGGCATGGCATTTTGTAGCAACAAATCACTTCTTGATATGGAGTTCCCTTAGAAAAAGAAACAAGTGCAGTGCCAGTAAGTTTCCTAACCCTTCTAACCAGTAACATTTCTTACAATTATGAACGCAGCAAGTTTAGGAGAAGTTAAATTAATATGTATCATGTCATGACATGACTGCATTTGACACCAAGATGCATGGGACAGGAATGCACTAGCATAGACATGACACCTGAAAGCCACTATCACCTCTGTTGCTGGTCATCAACAGCAGCTACTCCATGATCTCATCACAACCTATCTCCATCCTCCTTAAACACCCTGCCTTCTGTTCACTGGGACTTGAGGCTGCTGTAAGCAGCAATCATCATGTGTAACTGAGGGCAAGTTGCCTGGGGACCTGGTCTGTACTGCAGCACTATTACAGGAAGCTTCACCTGACACTGAGTAGAAAATGCATGATAAAACAGGAAGATTATAACCATACATTATACGGCTTCCCTTTATAGAGATATGAAAAATGATTAGGAGATTCATCTGCCTGGGGCAGGAAGTGAGGGTGGGAGAGAGATGCTGAGCAAGATGTCCTTTAAAGGTCCCTTCCAACTCAAACCATCCTATGATTCTATTCTATGATCTCTTTGATCCCTTTTTTTTATTATTTTGACCTAGTCATCCCAGAACCAATCTATAAGCAACAAAGAGTAACAAGCATTTCTAGGGCACGACTCACCTCATCTTCATGAGAAGGTTTTAAAGAGGTCAGACGAATCCTTGTCTAGCAGCATCCATTTCTCTCCACTGATTGTGAAGGGGATGCAGCATGACTACCTCTTATGCAGGCATACAAAACACATGAGCAAAAGCATTCTGCTTCTCATGTGCAGTATAAAATGAGCTTTTCAGAAGGACACTTGTCCAGGAGCCTACCAGAGGATATAAACAATCAAAGCAGGATGAGCTTGGAGTACTGCTTTGTTTTGTTTTTCATTAAATACAATGCTACAATGTTTTTCTCTACAAACAGTAAATAACACTAATTGGTTACTTTAATCTTGCCATGAAATGCATCAGTGTTTTGTCCCAGTGTGTCTACCTCAAAATGAACATGCTGGGAAGCCTGCATCTGGTAGCATATCAGTTTCCAACATTCTTGTGGCAGGCAGGAAAAAAAAAAAAACAAACAAAAACCCCCAAAACAAACAAACAAAACAAAACAAACAAACAAACAAAAAAAAAAAACACAAAATACCCCAACACCAACACACACAAAAATCTAGTTAGAAAACGTGATCTCACTTTCACAGGTCATGCTGCTGTCTGTTTGAAGACTGGGTTGTGCATCAGTTGCCAGAGTGCTGAGGATCACTTCCAGCAAGGCAGAGGAGGTAATATGTGGAATATGTGGGTTCTTCCCTGATCCCCCAAGTGAGATTTGTAACATAAATGTCTGTACAAGACAGCTCAAAGCAATAACACAAGGTCTGCAGGGAGCAGCCATGCGTATTATCTGTGACTGAGGACCACAACTTAGTTCAGTGAGAAACAAACTGCATGCTGCTGTTTGATCTTCTAGGACTCCAATGAATTCAACAAGCAACTCAGCAAAAGCCTATACAGACTTCCTGACAAGCAGCATACACAGGATTGGAATCCTTTTTTGTATACTGTTTAACAAGCAAAGAACAACAGCAGATTCCCCCCAAAATACTGTTTGTGATATAAAGGGAACATGTGGGATGGTTTTCTTTGCCATTTTAAAGATCTTTGCCCTCTCTGCACAGCCCATTCAGTGCCTCAGGTGTACCTCTCCTGAGAAAAAGACATGAAGTCGGAGTTCCCAATGCTCAACATACTGTCTGGCTTCAGTCTGGTTTGCATAAAAAACAACATCAAAGATCTGGCATCACAGTCTTCAACAGCGGCTAGCAAGCAGCAGCCAGGCACAAGGAGTGAAGTTCAAAGCTGCACAATGGATCACTGCATAGAAAGTGCCCCGAACTAGAAGGAAGCAGATGTAACTGCTAAAGATGACTTTATAAGACATGACAGAAGACAGAGATTTCCATTGCAGAAATAACTTCTGAAACCTTAGGCCTCAATCAGTCTCTGTTAGCAATCTGAATTTTTCAAACACAAAGACTACCTAATGTATACTATACTATGTTACTTTATGCTAACTGTAAGAAAAGGATCACTAGCTTTCTCAGCTATCCTTTTGGCTCTGACCTCTCAAGGCTATTTCATAATAAAATACCAGTGGGTGCTCAACAAACAGCAGGAGAACACAGAAGCCTCAAGAAGCAGCTCCTAGTCCAACACAGGCAAACCCTTAATCATTTCTATTCACTTCAGATGAACTTTGCTACTATACTTGAATCCTCTCTCTCTCTTTCCACATAAATGTGTAATTCCAGTGGCACTAGAAGCAAAAGAGTTCAAGAACCTGGAAGTGGACTTCCACACTTTCTAACCATCATAGAGATATTCTTCTAAAGTTTGAGAAGAACAAGTGTTGAGCACAGGCAATGTATTAATAGGACATTAGCTTTTAGGTGAAATTGCAAGAGAGAAATTATTCAGGAGACTGTTCTCAGAGCTGCACTCACAGGTTATTAATCATAATTTGACCTTTTTGTAGTAGCTTTCTGCCTCCTTTTGACCAAGATTTACTCCAGCAATCTGCATAGCAAGTGCTTTGGCCTTATGATTGCATCTGCAATACGGTTTATGCCACTAGAAACAATACCAAAATGCATCGTTACGTGCAGGTCAGATAACTCATTGACCTGGATTTGAGATGAAAAGCATAGGTGAGGCATACTTCCAGTATGATGTCCACAAAATATCTTTCAGAGAGGGACAAGTCCTCTCTGGGATGGTCCAGTGCTCACAGTAGAGGCATGGAAGGGATGGCGGCTCCATGCCCTCACCTGGAGAGCACGTCTCTCCGAGATGATGGGGACTTAGTCAGGACATGCTAATAGCAGTATCTCTTGCCACTGCTGCTGCCTCTTGCTAACCTACAGCAATCAGCCCACCACAACCTGACCTATAAAGCCAAGATCCTAATTTACCACTACAGGCTTTAGAAGCTAAGGGTACATTTGTGGAAGCCTGGTTAATAATTTATGAGTGCAATAGTTACATTTTTTCCAATGACAAAACACTAGATCAAACAATGTTCCCAGGTTAAGCATTTCTCCTTACATATCATGCACAGCAACTATAGTTTAATAGATGTCCTCAGGGAGTCTATAGGAGTGATAAGAACAGTTTTAGCTTGGGACTATTGAAAGGTTAATAAGATTTATCTATTCAATCACTGAGTCAGAGCAGGGAGCTTTGGGATAGGTTTTGTTATTTTCCCCACATTTACTAGTATTTCATCTTGTTGTTGAACAAAGCTCATGCTCTTCAGCATAGCAGGCACTCTCAAAAGGATCCATGCATTCATCTTGTCTGGGGCAGACTACCTTATCTTCCAAGAAAATCTGGAAAAACTGCCACCCCAGTCCATTGATATTGAAACACCACTCACCAATAAACTTTTCCATTTATAGACTACTGAGGACTGATAAGTTTGGGCCTCCTCAGAGACTGCAGAGGAAGAACCTGTCAGAACTGGAAACCTGCTGTTTTATGACAGAAGAACAGGCATCCCTAGTTTTAAAAAAGTGCATGATTTTGACTCTATCTACATGTTTATCCTTTCCTTTATCATTATTGCAAATCACCATGCTCACACATCTTTTCCTCTTTTATTTAAAGCCCCTAAAGTAATCTTTCCAGAAACCAGAATAAATAAAGAATAAACAAAACAGATCTTGACAAAAACACTCTCTGATCATCCTAAGTTAATGTTCTATAGTAACTCCTGCCTTTACCGCGTGTGAATATCAGTACTATTCTAACTCTCAGCAACTAAGCTTGCATGTGTGCACAAAACCCCTAGCCAATTGTTGCCTTGTTGTGAATATTGTTCCTGGGATTCTTCAAGATACAAAACCAAACCCCGTAAGCCATGAAGTCTTAGGCACAGCCTTTAATACTACACCAGGCTTTCAACTGTGTAACACCTTAGAAACATGTCAATTACCATTTGTCAATATGAGAAAAACTTAAAACTACACAACCACAAATGTTATTTTCCACAGGACTCCTGATCCATTCAAGACACAGGAAAAGTAACAGCATGGCAGCTGCCCAAAATGTCTTCCAAGTTTCACTATTCAGCATGTATCTCATGCCTCATTTGTGACACATTTTCTCATGACTGAATACAGAATTAATAGAAGACTTCACTTGTTCTGTCATACTTGCACACTTGTATCCATGGACCTTACAAACACTGATCTATGTGGTATTTTTGATGTATTCTTCTGTTTTAGATAGAAAAGCAAAATCCTTTAAGTTAATAACAGGACAGGAAGGGAAACATATTGGTAATTTAACATATCTTGGTGGCTGGACCATCCAGTTACAGAGAACTTGATTTTTCAAGTATATCAAGCATCCACAACTCCATATGATTTTAAAGAAATTTATGGACTCACAGCACCTTTGAGTGTCAAGGCCCTTAAGCATAAAATACTTCACCTTGTTACAGAGAACCCTTCACTGTAGAACTGTAGAGCAATAGTTCTATTTAATATAAAGCGATAGTGATACGAATAAAGCGATGAACTGGAAAACCAGTTACAAGCAACATGATTACATTCCTATATTCAAATTCAACAGAGCATCTAGAATTAACTGAAAATCTGAAATGGTTCTCTGCAACATGTGTTTAAAAGCAGCAGTGCTATCGTAAAACTATTCATTTCCAACAAAAGGATATCAAGAGACACTAAGAAAGTCAGCCCCAGAAGCTAAATGGTCTTTCCAGCTGTGAGACAAAAATCTTCTTGGAAGACATTAAGGAATTCTTATAAGTTTTTTGTCTTTTCTATAAGATTTTTTTTTAGATAAAAAAGAAAAGCAAAGCTAAAAAAAACCCCAAAGTTAAGTTAGAGTGAATGTTATCAGGGCTGTATAATGCACAAGATGAAGCAGTAAAATCCAGCTAATAACATAAAGTTTAAAACTGTTATTTGAAAGCAGAAAATACAACCAGACACTAACAAATTAAATGGCTTTGTCTTTGCCACACACAATCTACTGAACAAAAAGCATAGCCTCACAAAGAACACACTCCAGGCTATTAAAAGCATATCAAAAAGATAAAATGCTCTCCTCCAATCTGTAGGTATTGTATTTAGTAACAGATTATTGAACTTCCTACTTTGACTGTTTTAAACTTAACCCAAAATCTACAGGCCAACACCAACAGCAACAGAGGCTAGCCTGACCCCTTTTATCAACCTGCACTCTCTCTGTAAGGATAATTTAACTATTAGCTAAAAATAGTATCTGGAGACAACACTGTCTTTAATACTTTAATCAATTGCACAAAAAACTTCAAGATTTTACTGAGATAATACATTAGATCACCCTTAGAAAGGGCAGTTCTTTCCCTTAAAGAATGAGTCCTAAAAACTCTAAGTTACTTCTTAACAAATACATTTAGGAATCACAGCCCTTCTCCCTCCACTCCCTTACCTCTTAAATTTATAAACAAACTACCTGTGGTGATACTGAATATTCTCTTAAAAATGGAAGCACTGTACATTTCAAAACAATACAGAATGGCACATGGAAGAACTTTCTAATTGAATTCAGTACTGTTTAGCAGCCTGACTGATCATGCTACTCTGCAGTGCAGCTATGCCAGTCCATAGGTCAAACACAGTGTGAATTCAAACACTTGCAGAGACACCACAGGATGCAGAGCTTTTTCCATATAACACCCTCAGTGAGGTTTCCTGTCATAAGGAAATATGTGGTGTTCAAGCAGGGAACACCACTTTCCTAAACAACAACAACA